ATATTTATTTATTAATGTTTTATATAGTATTGAAAATATTATTAACAACTTGTGGCAATTTGGCACCTGTGAATTATCGAGTTACAATTGATAACATTTTAATATATAGAATTATTGCTGATATTAATCAATTAGAAAAATCTAATAATAATATAGGAGAAAATAATCTCACATTAAAATTATATGAATGTTTATTAGCTTCAATAATATCACCTTCACAATTTCATTCAACAATACTCCCACAAGCAATAAATCTATTCAATTCTGGATTAAATTTAAAATCATATCAGGTAAATCTAATTACCACTTTTACTAATAATATAATATAGATAAATGATCAATAATCTATTTTTCCATTATTATCATTATTAGTTGCAATCATTCTGTTCTCAATCTCTAATGATATGTGATCTCATGGTTCACAGTCGTCTACCACCACTTGAACATCATTTACAAACAAAATCTTCAATACACCAAATTACTTTTATGAACATTGATGATGTTGTTGATACTATTGATGATGATAATAAATTAAAATCATTGTCATTTACTGATAATAATAATATTATTTCTGAGAGTCTTAATAAGAGACCACACTCAATAGATGATGATTTTGAAATAAATCAAGATGAGAATGCACAAGTTTTTAAATCCCAAAGAATGAGTGAAAATATTAATGATGATGATGATTTTGAAATGCCAGAAATCATTCTTGAAGGCCCAGATTCAGACTAATCTAATTTATCTGAATTATAATAAAAGGGCTTTATTAGATATGTTATTTGTTTTATTATATTAGATATCAATAAATAATTTAAAAGATAATTTATGTGAAATCATACAAAATATTGATAGTATTGATTGCATGCGTTTATTTTACAACATAGAGAATATTCCTGATGATACATATATTTAATTGTGTAGCAAATGTATTTGATGAAAAAATATATGAAAATATTTATGATATTATATATGAAATTTTATATAATAATATTCAATTGTTCACAGTAAGAAAATTCAAATTTA